AACAAGAAAAAACTTCATGAAACAGTATAATAACCTGGAACTGGGAAGATTTTTCTGTTGGTCGTGTCATTTGGTCACTTGCAAAAAATTTGCACTGTACATTTTTAAAGTTGAAAATAGTGTAACAAAAACAGTGTTTTGGAGAGCAATTGCCTTCTTGATCCCTAGTTTTAATGCAGAAACAGTTGGTTACTAAGATACATCATTATAGTAATACTCATTCGTTTTTGGAACATTTTAGTGAAAGAAAAGATATTTCTTATCTAAAGATTCAATTTGGAGTAAAGGAAAAAAGCATTGGAGAAAAAAAGCAGAAATCTTTAACAAAACATTTGCTTTAAACGCAGCTTTTTGCTATTGAAGAAGATATATTTGGGTAAGTGACTAACTGGAAAAAAAGCTCTTTATATTTATGATTTTTAAGTTCATACGACTTCAGTTGTAACGACAAGCAACAACAAATTTTTTTTTTTCGCTTTTTAATGGCCAGTTTTTTTTGGCTATTAAATATTATTCGAACCACAAGACTTTATGAGTCTTTTTTCTCTATAAAATACATTTTTTTGATTATTATTTTAGTGTACGAGAAACAAAAAGTCATAACTTTTGATTGTTTTTTATTTTGAAACTGCAATCAAAGTACATGGTATAGCAAAGTCGAAAACTATATATACACACTACTGCTCTCTCTCTCTCTCTCTCTCTCTCTCTCCATATATATAGATTTGTATCAAGTAGTAAAAATATCTTTGCTTTTAGACAAATCAGAGGAAAAGAAAGCAAGAAGAGGATGAACCAAAATAGAGGAGAATAAAGAGACGGATACTAAGAATATTAATGCAGTAAGAAATATTGACAGAAATATCTACAGGAAACCATCTTTGGTAATTCTGCGAGAATACAGGATAGTGAACTGGGAAAGGAAGCAGAAAAATGCAAACAAATTGAATGAATTGCTGATGGAGCATAGAAAGTAATGTGAAATTTGGGAAGAAATTGATTTGTTCAAATATGACAATGCTTAGTTGGGTAGTTTTTCTTAAGTAATCTAACATAGTATACATTTGAAAGGAAAACTTTAAAACATCCTCAGCAAACTTATTTGGGGAAAAAACGTTGTCCTTGGAATAGATCTTTTGAGTATTTTCTCAAAGCCTAAGAAAGTTTAACTAATTACGAATATCTGATTCTGCTCCGCTGTTCGTTCACTTTTTGTTACGGAATCTTCAACTGGAAAACAGTTTTATTAAAACAAAGCTTTTTCGTTTCCTGACTCATGAACAAAATTTTTCTCATTAGCTTTGGTCACCAAAAAATTTTGATTAGGTAAAGTGAGCAGAAAATAAGGCAGAAAAAAGTTACTTTTTTGGTAAAGACAACCTTTTTTTGTTTCAGTGATGGTTTTTATATAAGTATAAATTATTTTTATTAACAAGTCTGTTCCAATAAAACTTCTTCTTTTTTTTTTTTTTTTTTTCATTTAAACATCAGATCATCTGCAGCTTATAGCCGTTTAAAACAATAAAAAGTTACAGAAAGCAAAACGATATACAACTTTTTTACGCAGTATTTTGGTAAAAGTAAATTTAATAAATGATAAAATAATAGCGTACATTTTGAAAAATTTTTTCTTCGTTTAATGCACATTGTAAGATAATCAATTATAAATTAGCAATAAAGCATCTTTTATTTGCTAATCTATAAATGGTACATAAAGAGCAACTGTTCTGCATTTATCATTCCTGTTGATGATGACCGCTGAAGACTTTCACTAATTGCTGCAGTAGTAGTTTTTAAACTGAGAAAAGAAAAACTGTTATAAATGAATAAAATAATACAGCAAAACAAAAAGCTTTTAAAGAATAAGAATAAGAATTTTCGAATATCTGAAAAAAAAATGTTTTCTCGAGTTTATTGATAGTTAAATCAACGCCCGTAGAACAGTGGTTAGAAGATGCTCACCGGTTTGATGACAGAACACCGATAGACGATGTTAAACGCTTGATACGTTCACTTAACTCAGTTATCAAAAATCGTCATTTTAAACAGGTTTGATATTGTTAAGAAAACCAAAAGATTTGAGCAATTTGCGCTTTCAATTATTCTGACCTATCAATAACTAAATTTTGGGATAAGAGTAAAACTTTGGCACATTGTACAGAGATAAAAACTGAATTTATATTTACCAACAAAATTTCTGGCAGTTTGTTGACGTTTTGTAAGGTTTTTTTTAACAGATGATTTTTGATTTGTCGAAGAACAGATGGCATTTTTTATTCGATATTCAGGAAATACCCTGTTACATGTTTTCTAGAAAATTACCTTAAAAAATGACTCTGTTTGCTTTAGTTTAATTTATTTTATTTTTAAGTTAATCTTTCTAGAAATTTTTTCACTTCCAAAATTGAAATTTTTCGTTTGCGATTAAACAAAAATTTTATAGATTTTTTTTTGAGTGCACAACAAAATTTCTTATACAACTAAGCCGTAATCCTTTTAACAGTCTTAGCACATATTTTTAACAGTTAACATGTTGATACTTCAGTAATTTACGTACAGAGCCGTAAAATCAAGACCAAATTTTTATGTTAAATAATATCTATCAAATTTTGTTATAATAAAACGATATATTCAATGTTCAGCAAAAAAAACTTTAAAAAATTCAAAAATTATTCTATTTCAAATCTAAAATATGAATTATTATTGAAAATTGAGTGCAGTAGTTAAAATGTATATGTATATGCAAAGAATATGCGGTAAAGTATCCAGTAGTTTGTCCAACTCCTTAATGACAAACCTCTTTTAAATATTAAAAAAACTTTTAAATTTACAGATAATTTTGTGACTGCTCAAATTCTGTGTGAATAAAAGCTATCAAGCTTTTAAAAAGCTTTTTTTTTTAGAAAGGTTTTGCAATACGGAAGATAAGCTGATAAAGCAGATTTTTAAATGAAGACGGTTTTAAGAAACAATAAAAATTAAGTTTTGGAATAAAAGAAGAAAATTTAGTCAGTTTTTAAAAAAAACAAAACTGTCATCAATTTGCAATGGCTGCCATCTAATGTCAAACCAAAACCAAAAATGTCATAAACTTATCAGATGTCGTTCTCTAATTTTAGAAAAAAAAAAAAAAAAGGAGGAAAAAACCAATGATATCTGCACAAACTGAATGCTAAATATAAGTAGCATTTTTCAACAAAGTTTTTTTCCCTTTAATCTTCAATCAACAGTTAACATATGTATTCTTTTTCTTTTAATTTTTTTTGCATATTTCCAAGTTTTTAAATTTGCTTTTTTTTTTTTTTTTTT